TTTACTATAGCACTTTTATAGTACAATGTCAAGTCAGAAATTGTGATGCCTCCTTCCTTGCCTTTGTTGCCCCAGATTGCCGTTGCTTTTCTAAGTCTCTTCTGGTTCCACATGAATTTTAGGAATTTGTTCTGTAGATCTGTGAGGTATGCTAAGGGTATTTTGATCAGGATTTCATTAAATTTGTGGATCAGTTTTGGGGGTGTGGTCACTTTCACTATGTTGGTTCTTCATATCAATGAGCAAGAGGTATCTCCATTTTCTGAATTCCTCTTTGATTTCCTTTAAAGTACTGTAATTTTCTATATATAAATATTTTACTTCATTAGGTTGATTCCTAAGTATTTCATTTTTTGTATGTTATTGTGAAGTGCGTACTTTCCCTAATTTCTGTCTCAAATGAATTTGTTGTTTGTGTACAGGAACGCTATTGGCTTTTGAGTATGAATTTTGTACTCAGCCAACCTCCTGAATTTGCTTCCCAAGTCTACAAGTCTGTTGGTGGAATTTTGCAGGTCATTTATTTAGAGAATCACATCATTTGCAAATAATGATAATTTAACTTCTCTTTCCTATTCTTATTCCTTTTATATCTCTCTGTATTGTCTAATTCCCCTAGTAATGTTTCCAGAACTATATTGAATAGGAGGGGATAGTGGGCATTCTTGTTCCTAATTTTAGAATAGAAGCTTTCAGCATTTGTCTGTTTAGTATTTTGACTGTTGGTCTGTCATAAATGGCTTTTACCTGATAGAGGTAAAGACAAGAAATTTCAGATGTGCAACTTCCAATTTATCTATGACTTGTGACCTTGTTCTGTGTGGGTTGGAAGCCAGAGATTGCCTTTTAATCTTTCATATTGACATTTTGCTAGTTTCCTCTGGATAAGCCAATTGTGAGGTCCCAGGTGCTTCTCAAATTGGGAACCCATCCACAGTGTAGGATAATGGGTCAGGTACCAGAGTTTCTCCTAACCTAGGTTATTGGGAAGGCAGTGAGGTATGAAGTTGGTCTCTCCACAAGTATGGCTTATCTAAGTTGTGGCTGGCTTGTTTTCCTGGCCTACATTGGCTACACTCAGGAGGGTCTCGATGGCAGCTGGCATATACCTAGGGTAGGGCTAGCTGTTTCTCCTCCTGGTCTGCAGAGGCTACCTGCTAGAGGCTCTTAATGGTGGCCTGCATGCATGTCTCAGTGGGGCTTGCAGCTTCTTCTACAGGCCCATTATGGTCCTCAATCAGTTTCCACACTTTACCTGCTGCCTCATATTGTTGCTGTTGCTTCACCTTATTCTGCACCCCTATCCCTGCCTGTCCATTGGGTGCAACCTAGTTGGGGTTCTACTGAGTCTCTGATTTTTCTGCTGGCCTCTAGTCACTGAGTTCCAGCAATGGAGGGAGGGGGCACTTGACTCAGATCTCTTCCTCACCAGTTACAGCAGCTCCTGTTCAATAGTGCAGAGAGCAGCTCATCTGGGCTCTTTCTCACCATTCAGAGCAGCTCCTATTCAATGACAGGTAGAGAAGCCCCTCTCAGTTCCCTTTCTCACGAGTCACAGTGGTGGGGGAGAGGAGCCCATCTTGGATTTCTTTCTCACCAACCACTTCACTGTTATTTTTTTGGAAAGATCTTTCCTTTCATGAACATTAGCTTTCATACTGGCTTCTAGATTTGAGGGTCTATTTTCAGCTTCATTCGAACTATTTTGTCAGCTTTTGATGGAATTTTTAATTTCCTGAATACCTCTATAAATCTGTTGCATGCATTCTAATTCTTTTCTATATTGTTCATTCAAATTTTTATCATTTTCTTATGCTCTACTTTTATCTACACATGCATCAGATATACTCAATATTTTTCATAATAGTTTTTATTTTTACCTTACTCAAAGCTTATTATATCATTCATCATATAATTAATTTTTGTCTTCTTCTTTACCAAGAGAATCAATAAGAGTCATGTGGGTGAATATTTATAATCTTTAAATTCTGAAAATCTGATTTATCTGTGAAGTGTGGGCTGTGTTTTGTGGACAGTGCTTTTAGCTTTCCTGTCATTTCAGCACTTTTTACTTTTGTGCACTGTCCAAGCATCTGTAAGTGTGGTAACATTTGGATAGCCAAAACATCAGAGAATCCTTCAAAAATTATTTTTCACAGGTCATCTTATGTTGGTTTGACACACATTTCTTATAAATAGCTGAAGCACAAGAGAAAGCCAAATATCTGAGTCTAAAAGAAAATGGTTATCACCATCAACAATCCTTTTTATATCTTAGACCTATACATTTGAAAGGCATGAATATATTTAATAAACCATGAGATTGGCAATAATGAATGCCATAACTATATGAAGATTTTTGTTTCTTAATTTAGTTTTGTACCAAGAGCATCTTTAAATCAGAAAATGTATTGTCTTATTCTTAGAAAACAACTTGACAATAACCAATGTAAACAAATTACAATATATTTACCAATGTTTCTTGAGGTGTCTCTTACAAGATTATGGAGATTATTGGGGTATTCGTAGTGGAAAAGGATTGGAGAAATATTTCCAGATGGCTCTTTCTTTATTCACCAAGGAGAGTCCTAACAGTTTTCTCAAGTGTAGAGTTCCTATTTATCTTAACAAAGTCTTAATGATCTATGAGTACCAGATCTTAACACCTAATAAAAATGAAACACTAGAATTATTGTACACAGACAAGATATATCATACTTATAAAAGTAATTTTAACATCATTTTGACTGGCCAATAACTGGCCAATTAAACATCTTTAATTTTGAGGACATCTGTAAACCAGTTTCATTTACAGATAAATGTTTTAAAAATCTAAAAAGACAAAAACAAAAAAAATTTTTTTGAGCTCAAATAATATCTTTTTAAAGGAATCTTGGTAAAACTTGATGTCCTCCTTGTTTCGGAGTGAAATTGAGGGTGAAAAGGGGGCTGTAACAGATAAAAGACCTGAAATGGGATACAGAAGAATTTAAGAGATTGTATGAGGTATGCAAAGTAGGAATATTAGAGAAGGTAAATAACTCTTGAAGGTAGGGATTTTTTGTTTAGCTTTTGGCAGTAGTTGTCTAACTATGCAAATAGAGGGATCAAAAGTCCCATTCTTTGGTCACCTAGTGTCACTGACATATTAGATGCTCAGGTTTCAATTCATTTTGGAGGCGGGATAAGGGAGAAAAAATGGAAGAATTTCCCATCTAGAGCAGAGAAAGGTAATTACCACACCTGGTGCAGCAAAACAATAGTGGCAAGAGGGCCTATACTGAACATGTTCAGTTAAAGTCAAGGCTGTTAGGAACATGGGTGAAGGGGCAAGTGGGTAATCACTTCAACTGACTAATCACCAAGGGTGCCAGTTTCCTTGGGAAGCATCCACCCATAATTAATGCTAGGTTCACAGGCAGAGAGGAGTGAGTCTATGTTCCAAGTGGTGAGAAAAGGAGAGCAAAACTAGAGAATAGCTGACAGGTGTGGTTAAACGCCGTGGTTGTGGCTGCAGCAGTGAACAAAAGTGTATGGGAGGGTCATAAGGTACAAAGTATTAGAAGCTAGGAAAATGGAGTGAGTTTAAACAATCTGAAGCAATCAGCACGGCAGGACTGGGGAGATACCTGGAACACTGGGAAAGGTCTAAAATCACTGTTACTGAGTAGCCTCAGTGGAAAAGGCTCACAATAAGAAATTCCTTCTCAAAAAGAACTTCCTGTTACCATCCAAGTCACAGCACCATATGTTAGGTTAATGGCAGAGGCAGCACCTAGAGACAGAGGCAGTACGAAAGATGAAATTTTGTTCAGCCTACCTACAGGCACAATAACATCAAAGTGACAGCAGCAATTATCTGGAGGCAATCAGCCCAGGTGTATGTACATAGAACAGATGCCAGGAAGATGTCAAGTCTGGTCCTAAAATAGCTTTACTCTTCTTACTCCTTGTTTGCCAAGCCATTGTTAATACTGGGGAGTTTACTATATATAGTGGGCAGCCCAAGCATCTCAGGCCAGTCCTGACAGAAATGACTGACAGAAAAATTACTGTAAAACCCTTCTTACCAAATTTAAAGATTATCAGACATTTAAACAAAAGGGCTCCAAATGTGAGTTATATAAAGCCTATTGTCAAGTATAATCCTGTCTTTCTGGAATCTGGAGCCTGGACTGTCTCCTGATTAGGTAAAGCAAATATATTACCAGTCACTTAGTTTAAAATGTTCAAGTTTGTGTGTTCACTGTCAAATCAAAGGAGGTCATATTGGAGGAGGGAGGGATTCATCTAAAGCTAGCTGTAAAGAGATAGAGCAGTCAATTTGCCCAAACCACAATCTCATTATATGGCAGTGTGTCTATGTTATAGTGAGAAACACAAAGTGATAATGTAGTGGAGATATGAAATTATTCATCATTATATATCCTAACACTTGCTTTATTTTTATCCATCTGTACATTACTCAGATCATTCACATTTTCTAGTGGGAAGAAAACTTATCTCTGGAACTCTGAAGCCAGCATTTACACACTTTGTCACTTGCTTGGCGCTGAGAAGAGGTAAATGATTATGTGTTCAGAAGGAAGAAGTTAGCAGCCCTCATCACTAAAGGAAAAGAAAAAGCTGTCTTTTAAACCTGTCATTTTACTGTCAATTGTATATGCAAGGAGTTTTGAGATATTCTCTCAGATATGCCATGAGTAACAACAGTTCACTTCTATTCCAGATGAAAACAGAATGACTCAATAAGGGTACAAAGACCTGAGGAAAACAAAATAAGTATAGGAGTGAGCTAAACTGCACAAAAATAGACTAACAAACGGGTGCATTGAATTGACTCCACCAGTTTCCTCTCCAAGTTACTACTCCTCTATTTTTCAATAGAGTACTTGTATCTTTTGATGACTTTATAAAGATACCTTAATAATCAAAGCATATATTGCATTGTATTCACTTTCTGCTAAGATGCACAATAACTAAAGTCTCTGCAGAGTCACTCATGAGAAAAACCCTTTTTATTATTTCCAGGTTGCATTAGTTCTTTTTACTCAACCATGTTATTATTTTGAATACTGGATACATTTATGGGATATGAGAGTTTAAGTAAATAAAATTAACACACACCAAAAGATTGGATCTTTTTGTCAAGTAATCTGCTGCCAATAATCTACTAAATGGGCATTGACCACCACTGAGATTTTAATCTCTACAACTGTGGAAAGTTAAGGTTAATTGCAGACACCCTTGTTCTGTGGATTTCCAACTGGCTGAAGGCAGAGCTTTCAAATTAGTAATACTCTGTTAGACTTAGTACCATACTATAATATATACATACATTTTAGCTTCCCTTCAATAAATCCTGTTATGAAATTTGAGACACAAAAACTTCTCTAGATCAATGTCCTCATCATTAAAACCAGTCACTCAAACCTGCACCCCAAAAGTTCCTTAGAACAATTAAAATGTGCAAATGTTTATACTGAAATAATTCACCCTAAAAACTTTAGCAAATTGTAATTCTATGTGACACTGCATTACCTACTGTAGTCATGGAGATGTATGCCACCATTTTTTTTTTGTTTTCTATGAGAAGCATTGTACTTTCTCATTAACATCTCTCAGTTTCTCCAACTCCATTATTTGCAACCATCATTATCTTCTATGCTTCTCTATAGTTATCAATTTTAAATGCTAAAAACTAGCATAATGAAGCTTTGTTTATGCATTGCATATTTCATACAATGATCTCTTGGCTAATGTACATTGTCACAAATGTGGAATTTCTTTTAAGCCTCAATAAAATTTCAGTGTATGAATAAATTTGGTATTATCATTCTAAGGCCATGGTTTGCTTGTAAAATGTTTAAGGCAGGGTAGTGATGATTTGGGTACAGGGTGTTTTGCTGTTCTAAATTTAACATTATAATGCACTTTCTGACCTCACTTGTCTATTAATACAGAAATAAGGGAGTAAGAATGTCCCTGAGTTTGTGACGTAAAACAGTGTAGCTCATTACTAACAGTCCTGTCTGATTCTTGGTTTCCTCCTTTTCTATATTTGTACTATCTTTCATTTTGTTTGTGCATGCTTTCTGACAAGACTCATAAAATGTTTCACACACTAATTAGAAAGACTTTCACTTCATGGGGAGTTCTATGGTTTTCTAGCTAAGTGGAAAAATTAAAGAGTTTCCCACATTCATTTTCTATTTATCCATCTATTTATCATCTATCTATATAAAATTTTTCTCTCATTTGAAGACTGTATTATAGAGCTAAAATGAAACAAGAAAAATAAATCATATCCCAAATTGTTTATGTTCAGATTTTATCTTCTAAGAATTTCTTAAGGTGTGTGATGGTACATGTGTACTTTTTAAGATTTTTTATATTGCATACAAAGAAATAGCTTCTCTTCACTGTCCTTTCATGTCAGTGCAGATTACTTTATATATTCAAAATTAATTTCTTGAGTTTTAGTATCTACATTGATTGCTTAAGTGAAGGCTTTTCCATATTGCTTATTCACATAAGAGTTTCTAACCTATGTGATTCTTTTCATGTACTTGACAACCACTATGTGTGCTGAAAGCTTTACCACAAAGTTTACATACATAGGGTTTCTCTCCAGTATGTGTTCTTTCATGTATTCGACAGTGAGTGTGCTGAATGAAAGCTTTCCCACATTGCTTACATACATAGGGTTTCTCCCCAGTGTGAGTTCTTTCATGTTTTTGACAATCACCCTGTGTGCTGAAAGCTTTCCCACATTGCTTACATATATAGGGTTTCTCACCAGTGTGAATTCTTTCATGAGTTCGGCAGTGACTGTTTGTGCTGAAAGCCTTCCCACATTGCTCACATACATATGGTTTCTCCCCAGTGTGAATCCGTTTATGTCTTTCACAAGAACAGTAAGAAGTAAAAGCCTTCCCACATTGCTTGCACACATAAGGTTTCTCCCCAGTGTGTGTTCTTTCATGTTTTTGACAGTCACCACGTGTGCTGAAAGCTTTCCCACATTGCTTACATACATAGGGTTTCTCCCCAGTGTGAGTTCGTTCATGAATTTGACAATGACTGTGTTGACTGAAAGCTTTCCCACACTGCGTACATACATAGGGTTTCTCACCAGTGTGAATTCTTTCATGTGTTCGACAATGACTATTCGTGCTGAAAGCTTTCCCACACTGCTTGCATACATAGGATTTTTCCCCAGTGTGGGTTCGTTTATGTCTTTCACAAGAACAGCGAGAAGTAAAAGCCTTCCCACATTGCTTGCATACATAGGGTTTTTCCCCAGTGTGAGTCCTTTCATGCTTTTGACAATCACTACGTGTGCTGAAAGCTTTCCCACATTGCTTACATACATAGGGCTTCTCACCACTTTGAGTTCGTTCATGAATCTGACAATGACTGTGTTGGCTGAAAGCTTTTCCACATTGCTTATATACATGGGCTTTTCTGCCAATGTGGGTACTTTCATGACTATCAAATGATTTGAAGGATTTCCCACAGTCTGTATATAAACTGGATTTTTCTCCACTGTGTGTTCTTTCATGTTTTTGAATATCATTGAGAGAAGTAAAATCTTTTCCACATTGTATAGATACGTAGGTATTCACCATGCTGTGATTTCCTTCATGGATTTGAACATGGTTGAGTGTATGGAAAGCTTTCATATCCATCTTATAGAAAAAGGGCTTTTCTTGAAGGCTTCTTTCTTCAGTCTGATCAGAGTAAGATTTTTCATGTTCTCTATATTCACATAAATTCTTTCCAAGGTTTGACTTTGCATCATCCTGAAAGGACTGGAAGTCAGTGTAGGTTTTCCCATTTCTGTGACAGTTCAGTTCAAATCCATGATACCTATATGATTTAAGTCCTGTGTTAACAATGATGGATGTAAGTGGTGATGAATGACCAATCCAAAGCTTTCCATGAGCAACACTTCCATCTGGTTTTGTACAAAGAAGTTTCATGTGCACTTTACGACTGGAAGTCATAAAAACCATTTCCCTATATTGATCAAATAATTTATGTTGATGGCATTTCTTTAAGTCTTCATTTCTGTCAAAGAAAAAAATAACAAATCACAACCAATCACAATGAAACGTATCTTTATATTAAGGGTTTACCAGGAAGAGGTCTCTATTTTGATTCTCGTAAGAAAATAATATCATGAATTTACTGTATACTCTAAATGACTGCTTGTAAATAGCTTTTGACAAAACAGCATTAATTTGGTATTTATAATTGAAATATTGTAAGGTTTGCAATATATAATACTATAATTTTGGGTGACTGGTATATACTTATATGACACGACTACTTTTGATACACTTTTCCTCTGTGATTCTACTTCTGCCCCTTCCACTGAGTCTCTTCATCCTCTTCAAAATATTTGCCTTACTTTTTACCTTTTCTCTTTTATTTTACTTATTAACATTTTGCATTTCTCATACAAAATGTAACATGTAATATTAGATGTTCTGTGTCCTTGTCATTTAATGCAATATGGGTTCCATATCTATCCTTTTTTTTTTTTTGGCAAGTGACAAAGTTTCACATTACCTTATAGTCCATCATACATACACACCACATTATTTTCAGTGTTACAGAATTAACCAGGAGGTTTTGTGTTGAGCTACATTCTCAGAGTTATGTATCTTTTACCATGATATAGAATTTGATTAATATTAAATTGCTGAGTTGGAGTATGAAGTTTAAAAAAATGAAACAAATAAAAAAAGAAACAATTTCAAAACAAAATAATTGGAGATTAACAATGGTTCATATATTGTGTATTGGTATTTTCAAAATAGTTGCTCCAATTGTAAGACATACACATGCAAAAATGATCAAACAATGAAGGTACAAACCACTCTTTTTGATGAAGTAATATAGATTAGTAGTATAATTAATTATCTTGGAGATAACTTTCTTTTGTCCTTCCTACTTTCCCTCATCTCAGTTGTTCTTACCTCTTGAGCAGTTTCTTCTATTTTCATAATATCTATTTTACATTTTGGATTCAATTTACCCTTTTTTCTATACTAGGGAGAAAATACAATGTTTACATATGTAAGTCTCATTTATTTCACTTATGAGTATGACCTCAAGTTGCATCAATTTACCTTTTAAACCTTGGGTTTATACTTATTTATAGGTGAATAATATTCCATTGCATAAAAATATTACTTTGCTTCCATTCAGTGGTTGATGGGCATTTGGGTTGTTTCTAAGATTTAGCTATTATAAATTATGCTGCTATAAACATAGGTACGCATACATCACTCTGGTATGTTTTCAAGTCTTTTGAGAAAATACCCAGAAGTGGAATAACTGGGAATAAATGGGACCTTTAAGCCTAGATATTTTAGGAATCTGCACCTTGATTTCCACAGTGGTTTTTCCAGTCTACACTCCCACCAACAGTGAAGAACAATTTATTTGTCCACCAAGCAGCCCCACTGGTATTTGTTATTGGTTGATTTCTTGATACCTACTCTTTCTGGTATGAGATGAAATCTCAGTGTTGTTTTAATTTGCATTTCTTGATTGACAAATGATGTGGAACATATTTTTAATATATTTATTTTCTATTTGTACATATTCATCTTAGATGTCCCTTTTGGATTAGGTTTTTGAATGTGGGAGGGCCTGAATTTTTCAAATTATTTGTACATTCTAGATAGAAGTTCTTTGTCTGAGGAACAGTTAGCTAATTTTTTTTTACTATGCTGAGAATTATATTTTTACTCTGTTGTACATCACTTGATGAGATCCCACTGTTCTTTGAAACACTTCCCATGCAGTTTGTGCTCTGTTTATGAATTCTCTGCCTACTCCTATGTCTTCAAGACTTCTATCTTATCTTCCAGTTGATTTCTATTTTAAAATTTAGATCTTTAATCCATTTTGAATTTATTTTAGTGCATTGTGAAAGACAATTTTTCCAGCACCACTTATTAAAAAGGCTATTTTTCTGTGAACATGTTGGTGCTTTTGTCAAAGAAAGGTAGCCAACTTTAACTTTAGTTGTGTCTGCATCTTCTAATCTGTTCCACTGATCTTCAGATCTGTTTTTCTGCCAGTACCATGCTGACTTTATCACAGCACCTTTGTAGAATAATTTCAAATCAGAGATTATGCTGCCTCTTACTTTGCCTTTGGTGCCAAGGACTGCCATTGGTATTCTAGGTCTCTATTTTCAAATGAATTTTAGGAATGTTTTCTGTAGATCTGTGAGATATGCTAATGGTATTTTGATTCAGGTTCCATTAAAACTATGTATCAGTTTTTAGAGTATGGCCATTTTCTCAATGTTGGTTCTTCCTCCCTAAGAGCAAGGGATATCTTTCCACTTTCTGAAATCCTCTTCAATATCCATATCATAGTACTATAATTTTTAATATATAGATCTTTTACATCCTTTGTTAAATTCATCCCCAAATATATAAGTTTTAGGATGTTAGCTTGAAAGTGATTATTTCCATAATTTCTTCAGTGACTCTTGTTTGTGTAAAGGAATACCTCCCTCCAGGAATGAGTTAGGGAGAACTGCTTCTTTTTCAAGTTTATTAAAGAGTTTGAGGAGTATTGGTGTTAAATCTTCTATAGATTTCTTACAAAACACAGCTATGAATCCACGAGGACCTGGGTTTCTCTTTGTTGGTAAATTTGTGTTTTGGTTATTTTGTCTCATTGCTGAGACAAAAATACCCAATGTCCAACATTAAAGAAGAATAGGTTTATTTAGCTCAGTTTGTGGAAGTTTAAGTCTTTACTTGGCTGTCTCCAAAGTAGAGTGGCACATATCACAGAGCAACAACAGCTCATGGTGTCAGAAAACAGCACAAAGATCATCAACACAACAAAAGAAGTATGGAGATAAGACTGTCTCTTATATTGTATGTAGGCTACCCACTCTAGGGTGAGTGTAGCAGTCACACCCATAATCCCATCAGTGGACCCTGAATCAATCATATATTCAAGAAACCTGCGACCATGATTATGTGATGCTTTGAGGGCACATCCAGACACAAAGCATAACAGTTTTTAAATAAATTCCCAGTTTCACTAACTGATACTGGGTTATTTGATATTTTTATAACCTCTTGATTCAGCTTTGGTAGTTCATACATTTCTAGGAATCTGTCCATTTCTGCTGTGTTTTCAAGCCTGTTCAAGTAAAGATGTTCAAGGAAGGCACTGATAATCTTCTGAATTTCCACAGGCTCTGTAGTGATTTTACCCATTTCAGTTCTCATTGTATGAATTTGAGCATTTTCTTTCCTCCTTTTGTTCATAAGGTTGGATAGGGGTTTATTATTGTTTCAAAGAACCAGCTCAATTCATTAAAAGTTTGTATTGTTTTCTTAGTCTCAATTGCATTAATTTCTGTTGTGATTGTTATAATTTCCTCTCCTCTATGAGCTTTTTTTTCTTTTTTTTTTAGCTTGAGGTACAGTATTAGGTTATTTGCTCATTTTGCTTTCTTGATGTGAAAGTTCACTGGTATAGATTTACCCCTTAGGACTTCTTTCATTGTGTTCCACAGGCTCTGGTATGTTGTATTTGTATTTTTGTTTGATATTGTTTAATTTCTTCCTTAATTTCATCTGTGACCCACTGGTTGTTCAGGAGGATGTTATTTATTTTCCATGTGCTTATAGGTTTTGCAGTTTCCTTTGCCTTTATTTTCCCATTTTTTTGTACTTTGTTATGGTCAGATAAAATATGTGGGATACTTTCAATTCCTTTCCATTTCCTAAAGCATGTTCTGTGGGCTAGTATATGTTATACTAAGATGCTAAAAATTAAAATAATTGATTAAAAGATAATTAACAAAAATAGTTAAAGAGATAGTTATTAGTAATATTGTCATTCTGTACTGAGCTCATTACCCTAGTAACCAAGCACCAACCACATAGTTATAAATTAACTGACCACGTCGTTCTGCTGTTCTGTAATGTGTCACCCCCCCACCTTAGTGAGCTGTGTGCTATGTCAACTTTTGTTCCCCTTGTAAGAGACAAATGATGCTGTGTCAGCCATTGTTCCCTTCATGAGAGACAAATGTTCCTGGAATTGGCAGATCAAGTGCTATGAATTGGCTAACCACCCACTGTGAAATGCCTCTTACCTCAAGCAAAGGGGAACAAAGGCCCACCTTATTTCTGTTTCTCATCACTGTGTACTTAATGATCAATGAGCTAATCATAAATGAACTATAAAAATCAGTCAAAACTCTAACTCAGTTGCACAGCTTTGCAAATTCCATCTGCACTGTGTCGCTGGGCCAGCTAAAATACAAGCGCTTCTTTTAAAAAAGACGTCTTGCCCGTTTATCATCTTGGGGTCTTGCCCTGTTTTTCATCATGGGGCCCTGTTTTTTGAGTAGAGTACAACAGTATATGGTCTATTTTACAGGATATTCCATGGATAGCTGACAACAATGTGTACTCTGATGCTGCTGAATGGAACATTCTATAAATGTTTTGTAGGGGCTGGGGATTTAGCTCCGCGGCATAGGTGCCTGCCTTGTAAGAAGACAGTCGTGAGTTCGATCCCTGGTACCGATAAAAAAGAAAAAGACAAAAAAAAATGTTTTCTAAGTCTATTTGTTTAAGTTTGATTCAGTTCTGTTCTTTCCTGACTTTTCTGAATATCTCCATTATCTCTGTATGACAATGACATCTTCAAGTCCCTTGTTACCACTGTTATTGCTTATTTGATTTTTCATTTTTGTTAATATTTGTCACATATAGTTGGATGCTTCCATATGTGGTGTATATACATTATGATTATTATCTCTTTCTCTTGAATTTTCCCCTAACAAGTATGTAGTGATCTTTCTTTCTTTGGATTATTTCTGGCTTGAAGTTCACCTTGTCTGCATATAGAATAGCTACTGTTGCTTTTTTCAGGGTTTCTGTTGCAAGGAGTATAGTTTTTCATCTTGTGACTTTCAGTCTGTTTATTTTTTAGTTAAATAGGTTTCTTGCATACAGTATATTGTTGGAATTCACTTGTTGATCCACTCTGCAGTGAATTCCTTTGGACTGAAATGAGGCCATTTACATTAATTGTTAAAACTGATATATATTGGTTTATTTTTGTCATATTATTTTCCTGTTGTTTGTTCCCTGCTTTTCCCATTTGTTTAACTGCTTGTCCTGCTTGGTGGTTTTTTACTGTTGTTGTTCTAGGAATTGTGATCAATTTTTTCACTATCTAGAATATCTTTAAGTACTCTCTGTAGGTTTGTTTTTGTGGTGATGAATTTCTTCAGTTACTCTTTGTCATGAAAGTATATTGTTTCTTCATTAATTTTGATAGTTTCACAGGGAACATAAATCTGGGTTCTTTCAAGATTTGAAATATTTTTGGAGGGTTTATGTTCAGAAGTTGGCCATGATTCTAATGAGTTTTCCTTTATATATAATATGTTTCTTTTTTCTAACCACTTTTAATATTCTGTTTATGTGCCGAACTCCTAGGATGGTGATTATTATGTATCTGGTTGTGGTTTTATTGTGGTTTTGGCTTTGGAGTTCTGTATTCTTCACATGTCAGATTTTGTTCCCATGCTTGAGAAATTTTCTGGTATTAATTTCTGTCAATACTTTCTGTCATTTCTGTTAACTTCTTTTTCATTGACACCAATGAGTATTATATTGTTTTTCTTTGTATCATCTTGGAGCTCTTGAATTATTATTTCATAGTCCTGTTATTTTTTTAGAAATCTTCCCTTGCATGATTGCTAAATGTGATCCTGTCTTCAAGCTCTGAAAGTCTGTCTTCAGTTTCTATCAAGTGGTTTTGCCAGCTTTCAACGGAAGTTTTAATTTCATGGATATCTCTTTGAATCTATTTTATGCATTCTATTTCTTTCCTATTTTATTCATTGAGAGTTTCTATCATTTTCCTATCCTCTTATATTTTCTTATTTTGTTTTCTCTAGCTATGTTGAGAAATTACTTCATTATGATTGTCTTTCTTTTTTTGCTTGAGAGATTATTGCTGATCTGATTTCCTCTGTAGCTTTACTGATTTGTTTTTGTCCTTCATATCTCAGCTTTCCAATATGCTAGGAATTCATGTATCCACCATCCTTCCCAGGCTATCCTATTTTTTCTCTCTACTCATCTGTGAATGGAATCTAGGCTGTTTCCGGATCTTTGCTTTTGTAAGTGGATATACATGTCAGTATAACATGATTATTTTAACTTTTGGGAAATACAAGGATATGTATCCTTTTATCCAGTAAAAGGATACATGAATAAAATGGAATTTCTATATTTACTTTTTGAGGAATCTCTATACACATTTTCAAAGATGTTATATCACAATGACACTTCTACCAAGCTTATGAGAAGATGACTTATAATACTTCAAAAACGAAAAGAATGAATGCTCTCGAAGATGGCTTAAAAACAGCAATTATCAAAATATGAGGCATTCATCTGGATTTTATAATTAAAATTAAACTTTAATTAAATACTTCCTCAAGCTTACCAATTTTTCAAATAAAGAATGTGTAAATTTAAATAGATATAGTATCATTTGCATAACTTGTCTGATTCATATCCTGCACTTGGCTTTCAACCTAAACACAATTATTTTATATACATCCATGATTAATGTCTATACACATTTTCATATAAGTTTTACAATCTTGAGGATGGAAAATGTTTATTCTTATATATATTTTATAATCTCACTTGTAGCTCAACATCAATACTCCACATTTCAGATGTTAACATATTTCAAATATTCAACTGTTAGATTCTAGATACTCAACATGTATTTATCTTTGGAGAAATTTCGCGAGATTAAAGAAATTTGAACATTGCTTCAGTTTTTGTAGTTTCTTTGGTTCTAATATTTCTGAACTTTCAAAATATTTCTCTAGTAAATGCAAATTACCTTAGATTTTTTCTATAATTGTTGTACTCCTCTTCAACTTGGTAGTCATCCCAGTTCCTTTCTAAAGTATTGAAAAAGAAATATGATGACTTTATACATTAATGAAAAATATTATATTCCATTTGATTCATCATATAATGTGACCATATCTGGAAAATTCATCAAAATGTTTCCACAGTCCAATTAAGAAACTACACTGATGAGGAACAATCAATACTGTCTCATTAAATAAATGTGAAAATGTTATCTTCCTTACCTACAGCAGCCACATTCCAAAAGTTTTCCCACATCACATCTCTATAGAGCATCTTTTGGGATAGATCCAGTAAAGTCCACTCCTCCCTGGTGAAAGTCACAGCCACATCTTCAAAGGTAGTCACTGCCTTCTATGTCATCAGAAATATATTTGCAGGAAGAAGAGTGAGGCTCACAAAACAAACTATTTTTCTCTACTCATAAAAAGTTGAAATAAGGCTGACTCCTACAAATGTTTACTTCAGGCTTTAGTCATCAAATACTAATTCTCAATCTATAAGTGCTTGTCACATAACAATTTTGATGCCAGTGCGAACTCATTACTAAATACATAGAAAAATGAGAATCTAGTTCTCCTTCTGGTTTAATGTAATTTTATTTCTGCACTCTCTCTAAAGAAACGCTCATAGGAGACTGCTAAGTAATACTTGAAGGAAACAAAAAAAAAACCCACTTATGTATATGAAAATCTAATGACTTATTCTGACAGATCATAGAAAAATATCTGTATTTTTAAACTTATCATTTAGGAAAAAGATCACTTCCCCCTCTGACTATATTTAGACAGCACTGTGAAAGCTGAAAGTGGTTTCATAGACAAAACTTTAATTAAATACAAAATAAAATTCATGAATGGTAAGTTAAAATGTTACTGAAGAACTTTTTTTTTTTACTGGACAATATCATTGAAATTAGATTAAGGTAGAGATTATCTTATAGCTCAATTACATAGAATGCTTGTTATAGAAATATAAAAACTTCTGAGGTATAGTAGAAAAAGAAATATGGGGGTATAAATAAACCAAGTGAATATCATGCCTCACATCACAGGTAAGGGCTGTTCACTCAGCCTAGGGAGGGTTCCAGGACTGACCAAGTGTCCACTGTCAGCCACACATTGTGACTCACATGCTGAGGTCAGGGACAGCCTCACGATTGACCATCCAATATGTCACCTTTAAGTCCAGGTTGGGGCCTTTGTGCTCTGCTGAGGGAGAATATCAAGACCTACTGATCAAGCATCCTACCCACAACTGCACATCAACAGCTGCCTGTGGGATCTCCTTAGCACATGACAACAGAGGTGACAGCACACACATGATTGAAGATAACAGGAGAGTTTTGCTTAAGGACTGAAGTGTTACACTACAAAAGAGATGAGCCAGAGAAAACTTAGGAGATAGATTTGGAAAAGGGAAGTAGTAAAGAGGAATCTCTTAGCATCCCTTGGGAGGACTGAGATCAGACCAGTAGAATCCCAAAGCCAGTATTTTATTGAGGAAGCTAGGTTTCAAGATAAAATCATTAGAATGGGTTGCCCTGAAAAAGAAGACACAATACTAGTATTTTGAGCTCTGATACTGCTGCCTACATCCAGCAGAAACTAGTTACATGAAGTATAATAGGCTAAGATATGAATGGTCTTCTTTCACTAAAATCATAATCTTTTGCTTATGAATGTCTATGAATGGTTCCTATATTTGTCAATATTCACTTGTCATTCGATGTCAATGATGTCAGCTGATTTACTACTGTACTCAAGGTAACATACAAGTGAATAACAACTTGTTTTCCCTCTAGATCAATACATGGAGTTCCTGGAGATCACAGTAAAAAATGGATATATATACATTAGTGCACGGGGAAGCAAGGCAACTGAAGATCCTCAACATCCCCAAAAGCAGAGCAAATGGGCACATACAGAAAGGAAAAAAATATCAGACAGCAGGACTCTACACAAATTTTATAGATGCATAAAACCAGATGGTTTAAAGAATAAATAAATCAAAAGTACACATCATTATCACTCAGTATGCTCAAGGTTGATTCACAGGAAGTAAATAGATTAGACAAGCTGACCACAGCAGCTCCAAATATGAATGATACATTCAAGAAAAATACAGAATTCTCAAGGTGATATCAGGTAGAATTACCTGAAATAAAAATTCCTAACTCCAGAAATGAGCAATGTAAAGATACTCTGATTGAAATCCACGATATGGTAAACTATTCAGTAGTTTTCAAATAGACAACAAAAGAAAGAGAAGAAAAGATAACACTAAACAACACTAAACATCAATTAATGCAATCTGAGTTCAAAAAAAACTAGAAAATAACATGGCACTAATAATATGTTTATAAAAATCATAGTGGAAAATTTTGCAAACATCAAAAAAATGTTAAAAGTAGAAATGAGGATTAGATAATATACTAACACTATAATGAAAAAACTCACCTAGGTATATCTTTATTAAATTTTCTCCTAGCCAAAAACAACAAACATTTTAAAGCAGAGTAAAAACAAAAAATCACATAGAAAGTTAAATCAATTAAAATTACAGAGTTTTCAACACAAAACTTAATGGTCAAAAGAATTTGGAGTGAAGTATTTCAAGCCCTAAAAGTGAGTAACTTCCAACCTAGTTTAAGTTATCCAGCAACTCTATCCTTCAAAATAAATGTAGAATTAAAGGCATTTAATGAAAAAGACCAACTTAGGAGACATGAATGCTAAACAAGCGGTTCAGGAAATATTCAAGAATATCCCAGAGAGAAACACCAAAATCAATACAGATATTCCTTGTTTAATGAACTACTTGTTTTAATTACTGTCTAGACTTACACCAGAGGCACACTCTTTCTGATTTAAGATCAGCCACTTCGAATTGGGACCAATCTTTTTTGTACAGTTTTGTGCATATTGTTGACAGAGCCTCTGCATTTTTTGGGTACTCTTTATTACAGTACTGATTTTTTGCTGGTTGTAGTGTATAGCACAGAGATTTTACGTTCTGTTATATAAAGGACCCTGGAGTTGTAACTGAACTCACATAATGAACAAGTTGGGTTATGACTGGAATTTTAGGTTTCACTTATAACCAAAGTCTTGAGTTATGACCTAAATGTAGGCTGTAGCTGTAAATACTCACAATGTCAGAAAAGTGTATGTAAGCATTTATAAGCATCAGTCTGAGCTCAGATGCATGTTTGTGGACTATTTTGGTTGGCACTTTACATAATTGCTATGACTGCTATTATCAAAATGGCCTCAAAAAACTGGAAAAGAAGCTAAGGAAGAAAAGAAAGACAGGGCTGGGGATTTAGCTGAGCGGCATAAGTGCCTGCCTTGCAGTGCGCAGTGGTGAGTTTGATCCCTGGTACTGGAAAAAGAAAAAAAAAAAGAGGAGAGGGAGAGGGAGAGGGAGAGGGAGAGGGAGAGGGAGAGAGAGAGAGAGAGAGAGAGAGAGAGAGAGAGAGAGAGAAAAGAAAAGGAAGACAAGGAAAGAAATCACAATAAAAAAGAAGCAAACTGTGGAGAAAAGTTGCATTTGTGTGCTCAATCTTGCTAGTATATATGGCATGTCAAAATCCACCTTCTTGACAATCTTATGGAGAACATATTAGTATAAGGAAGACAGTATTGCTAAAGTTGTTACTCAGATTATTAAGTCATAATCAACAATGTTAGACTTGGTGGAAAGCCAATTACTACTTTGGAAAAATGACAGGTTATTATCTATCTGAGTTTATGATTTTTGAAAAAGCTAGAGCTAGGGGCTGGGAATTTAGCTTAGTGGCATAAGCACCTGCCTTGCAAGCAGGCGGTCGTGAGTTCGATCCCCAGTACCGATAAAAAAAAAAGAAAAAGCTAGGGCTATAAATTCAGACCTTGCAAAGGAAAATCTGTTAAAGAGTGATAATGATGAAAGATTTCATGCCAGTAGGGGATGGTTTCACAATTATAAAGTGAGAATAAGAGATCACAGAATAACTAGGCATGGTAAGGCACCCAGTGTTGATGGAAGGGCTGCTGAAAATTACATACAATACTTCAAAATGATGACCCAGAGAAATGGTTTTTGCACTCAAGTTTTCAACTGTGATAAGTTGGCCTTTTCTGGAAGAAAATGCCCAAGAAAATATACATTACATGGGAAGAAAATAAAATGCCAGGCCACAAGGTGGCTAGCCTTATTGCTATGTTCTAATGTGAGGGGTGACCTCAAGATAATGTTTACCACTCTATTACCTTAGAGTAAATGTTCAGAAAACAAAGTCATAAAGAATAGGCTGCGGGTTATTTGGAGGCCTAACACAGGAGCCTGGGTAATAAGAGTATTTTCTCTTCTGTGGATCAGGAAGGTCATCTGTCCCTCTGTTAAGAAAAATCTAAAGTACAAAAAAATCTAATGCTCATGGCTTTCATCATGTACAATGCTCCTGTTCATATATGAGATTCGGGAGATTTGAGTGAAGAATTCCCATGACTCTCAATAGAATTCCTCTCAAATACTCTCTTCTACTGCAACCTATGGACCAGCAGGTTAACTTTAAGAAGCTATACACCAAAGAAACCGTTCCTGGAATGCTTCCAGATAGTCAGAATACAGATTTAACTCTTATTCTGGTAGGAACATTACAACAACATCCTTTCTCTAAAAGGACACTGAGATCTACCTGGGAGAGAGTCTAGTCTAAAATTATACAGGAGAGAGACTTTGAAAACTGCATAGAAGAGCCTGAGCCTTCAATTCATACTGTAGTTGATGACACTGTCAGGATAGGAGAGTCCATAGGCTTGCAAGTAAACAGTGGTGTTGTTGAGGAATTGGTGGAGGAATTCTCAGAGGAATTGTCTATAGAGGATCTTCAGCAACTTCAGGCTAAGCAACAGGAAATTGCAGCTAATTAGCTTTCTAAAAAGGAGAAGAATCAACAATCAACATAGCAAAATTCTGAAATAAAGACAATCCTGAAAAATTGGACAGTTAAAAACATTTGGAGAGAAGACCCACCTAGAGAAAAAGCCGATCATTGCATTCACTTACTTAATTACAATATCATGTGATAATATAGAAAAGCACTAAAGATAAGACAAAAATGGACAACTTTAGACTAATTGTTAGTTCTGAAAAGGCTGAGACCTAGTGAGCCAGAAGCAGGTCCTAGTGGGCTAGGGCCTGTCCCACGGAGAGAAAGGACACCAGATAGCTAGATTGCTGAGGTTCTTTTGGAAGGAGACTACCCTTCCAAACAATTCCAGCTTCCATTTCATACTGCCTTCCTGAAAGCCAAAAATGTCAACTTGAATGGTGAAAATACAGCATGAAATTGTTGTTTATGGTAAATGAGGTACATTTTATAAGTTTTTGGTGAACAGACTAGGAAAATTAGTGGTTTTTCTGGTAAATTAAACACATCATACAATACTTTTTGTTATGAAAACGTTAGTTAAGGGGTGCTTTGGGAGGTTCAGAATGCATTTACACCTATTTCCATTATTTCTTATGGGAATAATAGTTCTGACTTACAACCAACGTGAGTTTAACCAGACCTCATGAATGAATTGTGCTCAATGTCAAGGGTCCACTGTATATCACAGTACTGTACATTAAGATTTATGCAAAATAAAAGCAAATTCACCAAGTTGGAATTTCTTAAGACTATTTCTTTTCTCAGAATATTTTAAGGCATATACTATACACATTTCCTCCTTTAATTATCCTTTCATTTAATAACTTAATCACAGGAACATGACTCAGTTGTTAAAAGAAATTCCTGCAGCTTATTATATGTTAGGCACATTCTCTAAGCCTGTTGTACATATAAACACAGTTTTCATGAAAAGACAAATGTCTTCAACGTATGTATTATTTCTGTAATGTATGGTGCTGGGAAAAAATAACCCAGCTTATGGTTTTTGAATATTCAGAAAAAACAAACAAAAATATATTTTGCCTAGTCTGATGCAGAGAGGAGTGACCTGGAGCATAGTCTTATGAAACCTGTCAGTTACATATGATAAAAGCAGGATACCACAGTCAAAGGGTCAAAAAATTTATCAGTAAATTCTTTTAACTAGGTTCACTTCTAACTACTGTTTGTTCTTACAGTTCCTCAAGTAATAATAAAACTGATTAATTTGTAGTTAAATAAATGCTGGGATATAAAAAACTCTTTAGAAGTGATTTTACCTTTGAAACTTTTTGCTATGTAAAACTCTCATTATAGGGGCTGGGGATTTAGCTTAGTGGCATAATTGCCTGCCTTGCAAGCAGGAAGTCGTGAGTTCAATCCCTGGTACCGATAAAAGTGAAAAAGACAAAAAAACAAAACAAAACAAAAAACTCTCATTATATGGGTGCTCATATTTTCTTATGGTTTATATATACACTTTAGGATAACATAAAACAATTGAAAAATTAGTTATTACTTCTATTCCTGGTTCTGTAATTATTTTATATTTTTAGCTTCTGTCTTACATTCCAGATCAGTAAGCTCCTTTACTACACACATTCTGTATCTTTATATCCTCCAAAGTATTTACTGCAAAGATGGACAGAGTAGTGGCTCCATTTTGCTGAAAAAGACATAGGTTAAAAAAAAGAGGAACATTAGAAAATGATGGAAACCTGAATGAACAATATGGGAAAGAACGACAATGCATTAAACAGATTCAAAGAGATATTCAGGAAATTTAAAACTCCATTAAGAGCTGGCAAAATGATTGACAGAAACTAAAGATAGATTTCCAGGTCTTGAAGACAGGACTGTAGCTAATGATCACAAAAGGAAAGATCTCTTAGAAACAACCCAAATGCCCAACTACTGAAGAATGGATAAAAAAGATTTTTTCATATAATAGATTACTACTGAGCCATAAACAATGATAAACTTGAGACGTTTATAGGTAAATGGATAAAACCTGAGACCATACTGATAAGTGCAATAAATCACATGTGTAAACATCATATTGTCTCACTAGTGTGACAAACTGAACAAGTAAATGAGATCCAAAATGTACAACAGATGCTGTAAAATGGGAAGAAACTGCTCAAAAGAAAAGAGAAACAGATGGAAAGAAAGAGTAAAGGAAGTTAGAAAAAAGGAACACACACACGATAGTTAAGACAGTCGTACAACTAGTTTCTCTTTAATTCATTGAAAAGAAAGAATTGTTGTAATATTGTTTGAACAATATTTCATGCCTATTTTCTTGTACTTTGAGTAACTACAATGAAGATAAAAGTATACAATATATTAATTACTGTTATTCTCCTATTAGCTAGATTTGAAACTATTTTATTTTATTTCTATTTGAATAAAAATAAAATAAAAATATATGTATCCCTTTTTGATAACTCAGTCTTGAATGTCAGTCTCTGCTATGAGAAGATATAACTTTGAGAAAGCAAAGAAGACCAAAGAAAACTTACCAAAAAATATGCACAGGGAAAATGGAAAGATAAACTAGCTGAATCAGGTATCTCAGAGCCTAAAATGATCAAACAAGTTACAAAAACTTTCAAGGAGAGAGTCCCTTTCTTGCCAGATAACAAAACAGGCTAAGAACAAAGATCTTCAAGCACTGGCTCTAGCATGCCTACCTTACTCCAACAAGGTACTTTTCTATCTTGTTTCTCTCCTTCCAAAACTTATTGGTTTCTACTTCTGAACTTTTATCTGTGATTCTTTATTGAAGTGAAGTTTACAAACCTTAAATAAGGCCTAACCTCACCAGACCTGACACTACTGAGCCATCTTTCCATGGCACCTCAATTGTTCTTTGGTCCAAGGGCTGAATTTTGAACAGAGAACAACTGTAGCCTAGTTTCTTGAAGGTTTGTCTTACTTTCCAAACTCAAGTGTGCACTGATTTCTGAACACCAAGAAATTCTCTCAGCAAAGAGTTGTCACAAATTTTAATACTGACACCACCTAGGATTAACATAATTCTGGCATTTTCAGAGCCCAATAGGTCAAGTGTAGATTACAGTCCAAAGTATGTGATGTTCGATTTTATCATGCATCATCATCCTGCAGTAATCAAAGGGAAGCACACTGATTCACTCTACAAACTAAAATGAAGGTACTGCCTCACAGAACTTATAATAAAAATAGATGGGCATTTCTACTGTTTGGGATGGTCTGATAAGTTTTAGAGTTTATATTCCAAAATGTGGGAAAGTGGCTATTATTTTTGTTTTAAATCTTGAAAAAAATACGGTTGATTTTTTTTTTTTTTATTTTTACCATTTATTTTTACCAAGAATCAAACTTAGGACCTTGCAAATGTCAGGCAGGAGGTTGTGCCCCTAAGCTACATTCCTGGTCCTATAATTTCTGTTTTTTACCTTTACTTTTACAAAAAATGAATAAAAAGTAATTTCCATTTTAACATAGAACCAATATGATATTTTATAAGAAATAATCAAAATTTATACACAGATGTCTAGGGCAGAATGTAAAATGTATTCCACACTTAATGCACATATTATCAATGGACAAAAACTGCAACTTTCTAGATATGAAATTTATAGATATTTATTTTAATCAAGCACTGTGATTTGTTAAACTGAAGAGATTAGAAAACCCCCACTTTTTTATAAATAAATGGGCACAGCTTGAGACCATACTCATATGTGAAATAAATCAAACTCACATGTATAAATACCAAATAGTTTCCCTAGTGTAAGAAATGGTAAGAATACATAAAAATATGTGGTAAACATGATTCCCCATTATATTGCTTTGAAGCCTTATAATGTTTTCATTCATAAATTGAAATGGTTCTATTCTGGGTTGTTTGATTTTATTGTTTATGATGGTATGAGCAGTTACTTTGAAGAAAACAAGACAATATAATAGCTAGTGCTGATATAATATCATCTTATTTTGAAGTCCCATGAAGCTTTTGTTCTTCTCTCTCCATCGGTTTATCATGTTGTCTATTGGATTTTATTATATGTAATAGTATAAACAAAATTTTTATAGACAAGGAGATAATATAGAAATATTGTTCATTTTCTGTTACTTGGTTCTATTATACCGTGTAATACTTTCATTCTCTTGAATGGATTTACATTGTCATGTTGTGTTTGATGCTATAATATACAAAGTTATACTCAAATATTTCAAGGAAAGAGACACTATGGAAGCTAATGCTTATGTCGGGTTATCTTGTGGTAAAACACTATGTTGCTTAAATTGTTCTGTTCTGACCTGTGTTATTATGTTTTATGTCCTCTTTTATCTTAATCTCCTTCTTTCTTTTAATTTTTTTAATTAAAATAAAACCCACTTTAGCTGAGCTTGGTGATCCAAATCTATAATCACTTCTCTCTGGGGGCCTGAGGCAAAAGGTCTACAGAGTCCAACCTCAGCATCTACAAACAATAAGATCCAGCCCAAAAACTAATATAAGATTTATGTGATCACAGTAATTGTTCTGTTTTATCCTGACTGTTCACCTATAACATTTATATAAAATTATCTAATTTTTTAAACCACAAAGATATAATTTTCTAATTTCCAATTTTCCCTCACAATCTGGTGAACTGACCAGCATAAAAAGAAGACTTATTATTTTAACATTTTCAAAATTCCTATCTTTCCTTCAGGCCTGATATTTTACCCATATTCTACCCAAGTCAGCCTACATCACAGCATTTAATGTCAAAGTCATAACATTCTGATTTCAAGGAAAAATTTTCTGTTTCAGGAGTTGAATTTTACCAATTTCTATCATTGTCTCTTTTCCCAAATAGTATTCACTGCCCTGTGCTCTTCTAGCACAGACAATCCTTTTAAGCTTACCTATTACTGTGCTTGTAGGCCAGAATTTGTGTCTCTACCCCTCCGGCAGTACTGCTTTAATACAAAGTCCTGACTTATCCAAGATTTCATTTTCTAAAACAATGTCTACAAACCATTCATGGAAAAGAGTGATTATATGAGCAATTCCATGGCTCTCTCTACTAGCATCCAAATCACATACACATGAAAATGCCCTACTGCAGATTCTAATCCAGTCTTGGCACAATCACCTGGCTCCTGTACATTCACCATTTCCAGGACTGAGGGTCTCCCAGGGTCCTTCCAATATGGCCTTCAATCTACTGCTGAGTCAGCTCTGTGCATTCTGACCCGTCTTCATTTCTTCATCCTCCACCCCTTCACACCAGGAATTATAAGAGATGAATTGAATGTGGCACTGTGGTGCCTGAAGAGCAATTCAGGGTATGAAAAAACTGTAGCAGGTGAGAGGACACTTTTAGTTGTGAACAAAAAAGAGAAAAAAGTACATTGATAAGATCAATATTGATCTCAGCGGTGTACTGGTATCATCAATACTGATCCCATCATGAGGTGTAAAATGGGGCCAACAGGTGCTTAAGAACAGACATAAATCAAAATGCTTGTTTTACTGATTCCCATATCGACTTTTTTTTTGGTGAGCTTGGATTAGGGAATGTCTCAATGATAATATATATATACTTCAATGATAATATATACTCAATGATAATATATACCACAATATTTGGCTCAGATCACATCAAAATTAAATCCTGAGCAGAAAATCCTGAGCAAAGCAACAATCCACCCAATAGAACTTGAACCTTCTCACTCTGAACAGATAAGGAAGGAGCTATGGGGGACAAAAAGACCTTTTCTCACTGAAGACTGTTTCATTGTGACTTCACAGTTGCCCAATGTAAAACTGATAACATCAACCATGCCATAAGTGGTTACTTCTGCTTTCTCATTTTAGAAAAATTTTGCTATCACAGGCTAAGACTTCCACTCTTCACAGAACAGAGTTATTCTTTAAGTTAAATGTTCAATAATTGGTCTTTGAAAATTCAAAGAAATGTTAAAAACATGTTTTAGGGACTCACAAACAGCAGACTACACTGTCTATGAGATGATTCAAAATTACACAGACATTGGCCCCTCATATGTACAAGGAGCTACCTTGGCAAGAACCCTCACTCAGGTTATTCATGCACAGCCTAGAGGAAAGGGGGAAAAAAGGTTACTTGTTTCAGCTGTAGAAGATGGGAACATTTTGCCCAAAATTGCTGTGATGTACCTATAAGGGCAACATAGTCATTATCTGTCTCTTCAACAAAACCTTCTAGAATCTGTCCAAAGTGTAGATGAGGATATCATTGGGCAAATGAGTATAAATCTAAAATTAGTTGTATCTGCTGAGATTCAAAACAAAATGAAGACAAAATGATGAAAATTTAGGTTTCAGCACAGATGAAATGGTATTATGGCATTATAACAAGCACTAAAAAATAGAACTTTAAAACTTAGTGATTATTTTTTTCCTTAGAGATAAGTGCCCTCCTGAAACCTGGGGCATGTACAACTTTCCCCACCTCTCCTCAACCCAGAAAATAAATAAAACATGTAGATGATAACACCAGGAAGTACAGAAGTCCAGTTTCCTTTCCAGAAGAAAGGGAACTATGAGCTAAAGATGATTGGAAGTGATAAAGCAAATATAGAAATTTGTGTTACTTCTATGTTCCCCACACATCATTCTTTACACTAAAATACCTTTGCCTACCTTCAAAAAGAGAGATTGTGACTTGAGAAAAATAGACTGCTCCATCTCCTCACAGATACCTTGGAGCAAATCCATTCTTATTCTGAACTAAATAGATTCCTTTAATTTGTTCAGTAGCGAGCAGATGAAAATGAGCCTGTTAGTCTGGTAGGCCAGTGATTGTTCAATAGTTCTATTAATGAGCAACTTGTTTTTGTGCACTAATCTTGTCTTTTTCCTCATGTAGTTGATAATTTTTGTTTTAGTACTTTAGTGACAGAGCAAAATGAGATCAATATATTAAGTCCGTAACCAGATTTAATGAAATTCGTTTTGCTTTGTGTTGCTTAAGCATTGACTACAGGAAAGCGCATGAATTGAATTGGTGCAATTACAGTAAGGCTTGGATGATCAAGCTTCTCAGAGTGTGCATGTTCTAGAAAACATTTCAATCAGACTGTTATATAAAATATTAATTTTGATAGTATGTGCTTCAATTGATTACTTAAAAATACAGTAATACCTCAGTTCTCAAATTCTTCTGTTTGAAAACAATTCCATTTGCAAACAAAAGTGTTCAGCAAAATTTTGCTTCTGTTCACAAACTCCACACTAGGTGACAAACAGGACCATGGCCATCCTCCCCACACAAACACAAACAGCCGTCATCCACAAAACTGTAAAACAATCTAAGGTCATAGCTAAGGTAACCATTGTACAGTGTTTGACATTTGTATTCTTGGTTTTCACTCCAAATACTTCATTTCCTATTCTTTAAAAAATGAGAGATGGTCATGGTGACACATGCCTGTAATTCTAGCACTTGGGAGGTTAAGGCAGGATTGTTGTGAGTTCAAGGACAGTCTGGGGTGCATGGTGAGTGAAAGGCCACTCTGAACTTCATAGTGAACCTAGTCTCAAAACAAAAACAAAAACAAAAAACCCAAAAGCTAATAAATAATTAATGAATGGAGCAAAAAGATGGTGCTACATACATGCAAATGCAGTATACTGGGCATGTAAAGCAAAGGGATCACAATTTCAAGTTTAAAATAAATAATTTAGCACGATTTTGTACTGTTAGGCTGATGTAGTAAATAGCACAACTTCACTACAATAGAAACAGTTAAATCATTAATACACAGGTAAATTATTAGAATTCCAAATTTTAACAAATTTTGAAAATGCAAAGTATAGATAATTCATTCTAATTCATTTATTAATATTCATGTACTAGATATTAAATATATTTAGATCATCTCCAAAATAGTTATGTTTCCAAATAGGCAAATTTTACAAAAATTCTGTTAGAACATAAAATCATCCTCCATTTATAAAATATAAATACTGTCTTAATGGGAATAAAGAAAAATGAGAAATTCTAGGGAATGAATAGCACAATATTTGCTTTCTTTTTTTTTCCATGTAGGGTCAGGGGAGGTAATCCAGGACCTCAGCATCACTAACCCCGTGCTCTACAACTGAACTACTTTTCGGTCACTCATGTGTTTCTGATGCAAAATTCTTTCTTCAATAATATCTTGCTTTCAATACTGCAAAAATCACAAAATGAATTTGGAAATATTTAGAATTAGGTGACCATTTAAGAATGTTGTCAAAATTGAAATAAAAACCATTTTGCTAAAATATAGAGGTTATAAGAAATATGTTTAGCAAAATAGTTCATGAGAAAAGTACAACCATTAGTTAATAAAACTGAAATCAATACTTTGAAAAAGATAACATGACAGGTATAATAAGGCAGGTAAAACACAAAACTTCACAATGAAAATGAGAAATATTTGCAAAGACCATTGATAATGTAATTTCTGAGACAGAGTCACAATGTGGCTAATGCTGGCCATCCAGTTTTTATCCTGTTGCATCAACCTCTAGAATGCTGGAATTACGTATCTGTATCATTGCCCTTGGCTGGTCAAGAATACTGTAAAAAAAAAAGTACAATTTAACTGTCATTTAATAAAATTTAGATAGTAGATACATAAATTCTTAGAAATATGTAAAATGCCCACCCAGGATGCTAAGACAGAAGATCATCATGAGTTTGAAGCCAGTCTGAACTACACTGGAAGACTCTGTGAAAAAAAAAATTATATATATATATATATATATATATTTGCAATCAGGAGGCAGAAGGATTGCTGTGAGTTCAAGGACAACCTGAGCTACATAGTGAGCTCAAGTTCAGTCTGAAGTACATGGCAAGACCAATTAAAAAAAAATGTATCTATCTATCTATCTATAAAATTTCAAATACAATACATGAATAAGGTATTTCAGAATCCAACAAATTTCTAAGAAACTAAAGTGACATTTGAAAAGTACCTTTCATAAATTAATCTCCAAATGGAATTACAAGTGCTTCCATGAAACTGTAACATATAGAACAAGAAGAGAGATGTATAAATACCAATTCCTTATAATGAATATATTTGTGATATTTATAAAAGTATACTAAGCTGGCCACGGTGATACATGACTATAAACTCAGCACTCTGAACACTAAGGTAGAAAGATCCCCCTAAGTTGGAAGCCAGTACAGATACATAGTGAAATGAAGTCCAGTTTGCATTACAAAGTGAGACCCTGTCTCCAAAACTCAAATTATATATGTCCATTATACTTTAAAAAAAAATATGCTCAACTGGGCATGTTCTTCAATGTCTGATAAAAGGGTAAGAAAACTCTGCAGAAATTTTATCAAATAATGCAAACTTTATCTGAAACCAGGCAACATATTTAAAAGAAAAGACTATTATGACTATGCATAAAGATTTTCAAACTGGATAAAACATTGAACAGTACCACAAAAGTATTTATTAGAAAATAGTTTCTCATCTTAGCAGGAAGCTAAATAAATGGGTCCCTAGCATATTTGATGCCTTAGTCCTAGGCATAATCTGAAGTACTACACACACACACACACACACACACACACACACACACTCACAATTAAATGATGTTTGTATATTTTTGTCAAAGATTATGATGACAGCATCAAAAATTAAATCAACAAAGAAAAATCATATGTATTCGGCAAAAATGATTTCTAAATCCTAAATTTTATTATTTCTTAGAAGTCTCCAGTGAAAAAAAGTCAAAATGGGCTAACAACTAAATAAAGAAAAATATAAATATAAAACAAAAACTACATCTAAATGGAGACACTCTACATGAAAAACTTTAGGATCAGAACTAAGTCAAGGATATTCACTGTCTCCACTGTTCTGTCACATAAAACCAAAATACATGTGTTGTGTTATAAAGTAAGGAAGAGAAATAGGTAAGTGACATAAGGATTGAGATTGATGGGACAAAACCATTATACACAGATGATAAAAGTATCAAGATTTAAGTTTTACAACAGTGATAAGAGCACTTGTCAGAGGTTGACTGAAAAATTATATTTCTATAAAATAAAATAAAGCTAAATGATTCTAAATCAGAAGCAACAGTAT